GATTCCAAGGATCATGACTTGCAGCCATGATCATAGATTCTTTGATGTGATTTTTTAAACCTGAAGTATTTGTAAGTCTATGATTAATAGAAATATATATGAAAAATTATCACTATGATATCAATGCAATGCCTCTTGTTAAACAAAATATTCTTTTTTTTCATCTTCTTCCATATATAGTATAAGTATTAGAAGCTAAACAAATGTAAAAAAAATTGAAATGTATTATCATTTATGCATAATTGCATTAATTCTCTGAACTTCTTTTTTTTTTTTCATCTTTTTCTCGCATTCTATCATCTGCCATCTTCAGATACCCAAACCATGTACTCAACTGCTGCACACACCTTTACCATCCTACATTTTTCATACATTTTTCTTGTGCAGTACAATATTTATTTTTCATCTAATTACATCACATCCAGGTGAACTCCAGGCATTTCATTAATTACAATGCTCTCTACAGAAGAGATGAATTTTGCAAAAAAACAAAAAAGCTCATACTGTGAATTTGCAATTTCAAAATCTACTTTTCTGATCCAGTGAACCCTGTACCCAGACACAGCATTTTTCAATTATTTTATGATATTCTGGTCAGTAGTAGTACAAAGGAATCATTTTACAGATATCATGTACTAGGGTCAGGGCCTGGGAGCCAAAATCCCAGATAACTCCATAATATAGTACCTTATGCATTGAGTTTCCAAGAATCAAGCTTGCGACTTACACCATCATGAGTCACAGATTTGAGAACCCAGTGGCAGATAACACTGTCATTTTGCTGTATACTGCAGAGGAAAACCCAGCCTCATCCGAGGACCTAATTAGTGTACCAACTGCGCACACAATTAATAAGCACTACCAAATATGCTGGGTTAAAGAATTACACTAGATTTTATAGACTGATAATTTCGAAGTTTCTCCAACACTCATTTCATTACGAATATTTGCAGAAAAACAACAGAACAGGTAGAGGACAACTCAAAGAAACTGAAACAGATATTTCTGTTAAGCAACGTTATATACACTTACATGGCTCATATAAAGGTTACATGTCATGTTGTCATTTCTCTGACTGATATTATATTCTAGGTAGTTCTGGATTTTTACATATAATGACTCTTGATTCAACCACTCACAATTTGCCATGTGAGCAGTAAGATAAAGATAAAAATGCATAAAAATAAACCACAAAAGATGCTACTGTACCACATTTCAACCAATTATGAAAAATTCATGCTTAAATTAGCTTGAAATTTTTAGTGCATAGTACAGTACTTGTGAATATCCAAGCCCTGTATGATAATACATCTGTAGATATTATGGCACCTGGTGTGATACTTTACTATATATCCTAGATTCCTACACGAGGTCTTGGGTAATCGATAATTGCCTGTACTCATTCTGGCATTCTAGTTATTTAAAATCTTGGGGTCCCAATAGTGCTCACTGTTATTTATCCTATGCACAGCAATTGGACAGGGATGGTTAAATGTTACTTTGCTCACACTCCAACACAATGTCAAGTCATAAATACTACTTGACTCAGCTCATTCCTGTCTAACATGCTCACACATGACTGTTGGATGTCTAAGTCCTTCGTGTACAAAACCTCCTTTCCCAGGATGACCCCTAACCCGCCTTCCTTCCCAGAGCCTTTAAGAGAGGAGATCAGCCAGTACATTGGTCCGTGGCCCAGCTGTGCATCTCTGAAGGGGCCCTGGAGCCCCTCCAGAGATTTTAAGGCCTATTTTGATTTTAAGGTCTACTATGTCTCAAACCTGACTTGTTGATTTAGCAAGATTGAGTATTGAATCAAGCATTGCTAGAGAAACTGATTTTGATGGTATTATTAGAAATTTTGCAGACAAATAAGCAAGAAAAGTTCATTTTACTAAATAGTCTAAGCAAATATTAAACTTTTAAGAATTTATTTTACTTTGAAAGAACTTATTAAATGTTTAAAAATTTAGGCGCTTGTATAGTTATAGGTCAACAAAAATTTTCAAAATCCATAAAGTATATGTTATCTGGTCATTCTGCTGCATAGGAAATAAAGCGTTTATGAAAGTTTACCAATGGTTTTATTGAATTTCAAATTCTCAGTTTTGGAAGAAGCCTCAGCCTGCCCCCAGGGGCCCCAAAGCAGTCATGTTCCACCTTGCAAAATTTCTCTTGGAGGCCCTGTTTTCTCCACTACAGATTTATACATCCTCCAAGTCATCCTAATTTTGCTATCCTCTCTAAATGTTCAGACCACCTCAGCAACTCCTCCTTGGCCCTCTGGATAATACTTTGAGAAACCCTGCACCACTTTCTAATTTCCAAACTACAAATTCTTTGCATAATAGTCCCATCACACAATAACCCCAAACATATCTCCAGTCTCCTCCTCACTGCAACATTTACAACCCATGCTTCACACCTATATGTGTTAGTACCACTTTACTCTCATATATTTTCCCTTTTGCCTCCATAGTTAACATTCTTTTTCTCCACAGATACCTCAATGCACCACCCACCTTTTTCCCCCTCGACTTTCATAGATTCATCTGCCAGTAAGTCCATTCCCAAATATCTGAAAGAAATTCACTTCCTCCATACCCTCTCCTTCCAATCTGATACCCAATCTTTCATTGCCTAAATTTTTTGTTACCCTCATCACTTTGCTCTTTAATTTGTTCCCCTACCTTTCCAAATTCGTTCACAATAATAGACCAGTTAACCTGTGCCAGCATCTTGTTTCTTTATTTCTTTTTCTTTCTTTCTTTGTGGAGGGTTTACAAGGATATCACAGCTTACTCTATACTGAGTCCAACTTCTATATCTTCTAGGAAAGAAATGGAAAGAGAAGAGGAATTCCTTTCAACAACAGAAATAGGAACAAAAAGTTCCCAAGTAGAAAAGTTAGACCCCACATCTAAACCTTGGTAGAATCAGATGCTTACAACCCACTGAATCAGCAACCAACTTTCTCCAGGCAATATATATCCACAGAGCAGAAAAAATGGAGCTGATGTATAGTGCCCAGACAAACTGCCTAGCAGAAAGAGTAAAAGGACAAATATCCTGGAAAGAAAATAGGGAAATTCATTTTCGATTCTTGAGGCAGTTTAGAATGAGACATTTGAACTCCACCAAGGCTAGAGCCTAAGTCCCCTGTCATCAAGATCCACCACTCAAACAATACATTACAGTGGACTCCCGCCTTACGAACGCATCGCCTTACGTTAAATCTGCCATACGAAGCATTTGAACGTAAAAATTTTGCCTCGCCTCACGATAAAAAACTCGCCTTACGTGAGTCGTCCGGGACGCGTCCCACGTGTGTGTAGCCTCAGCTGCCCCGTGGGTGCCAGTGTTTACAAGCCAGCTAGTGCGGTCGCATCCACACATACATTCAGTACATTTCACCTTATCCCAGTGTTTTTTGTGCTTGTAACTGCAAAATAAGTCATCATGGGCCCCAAGAAAGCTTCTAGTGCCAACCCTGAGGTAAAAAGGGTGAGAATTAGTATTGAAATTAAGAAAGATTTTGAAGGGTTTGGGGCTAACCCTGAGAAGCCTATGCCAGTTGTGGAATCCATTGTGCCTACTTCAAAGATTAAGGAAATGTGTGCAAAGTGGGTTGGACTGCAAACCTTTATGGATGAAAATCACCCTAATCACTCCAGGTAACACAGCTATTGCAAGCCGTGCCAGTGACTATTACAATGACAATGTTGTGGCCCATTTTAGCCAAATCTTAAAGGAACGGGAGGTACAGACCTCTATGGACAGATTTGTTGTGCGACAGAGGTCCAGTGACTCTCAAGCTGGTCCTAGTGGCATTAAAAGAAGAAGGGAGATAACCCCGGAAAAGAACTTGCTACCTCAAGTCCTAATGGAAAAGGATTTCCCTTCTAAACAATAACAACTTCTACATTCTCCCCTCCTCCCATCCCATCAATCATCACCAAATCTTCAATAAAGGTAAGTGTCATGTATTCTATTCTTAGTAGAGTAGTAATTGTGCATGTCTTCTTCAGTTTGTGTGTACTGTATTAAAATTAATATTTCAAGTGGTAAAAAAATTTTTTTTTTCATACTTTGGGGGTGTCTTGCATGGATTAATTTGATTTCCATTATTTCTTATGGGGAAAATTAATTCGCCTTACGATAATTTCGGCTTACAATGAGCTCTCAGGAACGGATTAAGGCGGGGGTCTACTGTATATTATACTTGGTAAGTGTAAAACGTGTTTTTTATGAAGAAAATCTTTTTAAGGTATTATTTAGATAATAGGTATTTTTTTAACAGCCATTTCCCACTGAGGCAGGGTGACCCAAAAAAGAAGAAACACTGTCATCATAACTCACTCCATCACTGTCTTGCCAAAGGCATGCCAATACTACAGTTCAAAAACTGCAACATATCTCCACCCCTCTTCAGAGTGTAGGCACTGTATTTCCCACCTCCAGGACTCAAGTCCTGCTAACTGGTTTCCCTGAATCCCTTCATATTAGTTATATAAAGAACAATATAGAAAACCATAAAATAATTCCCCCCTCATGAATATTTTATAACAGAAGTACGTAGCAGAATTGCTAATGAAACATAATAAAAATGGAACACTAAAGTAGAGCACTAAGTAAGGTAAAAGCTGAAATAAATAATTTTAAGTAACTTCCCTACCCTCCTAATAAATAAAATAGACTATAATTAATCAATATACAGCATACACAGCTCTATAGACTGGCAATTTGCCGCTTGCTGTTATTAAAATTTTGAAAAAGGAATCCTGCATAAATGTTTAAACATCAATATTTGTTAACATGGATAACTTTCTTTCATTTAACCAGCTTTACCAAAAGTCACAAGTGTATGTACGCTGCAGGTGAAACAAAAGCGGTAAAACATGCCCCATTATACACGGAAGCAAAATAAAATACATTTTGGTGCAAATTTTGCATAATAGTTTCACAAAATGTTCTATACATTTGAGACTAGTTTGTCTTACCATCTCAGAGTCTTGCCCTGCCTTCAGGTCATGAAAGCGATGGAACATGGTGCAGCTTGGGAGGGCCTGGTTGTCCGCCCAATTATAATGACTGTGCTCACAGTGTCTCTGGAGCAGAGGTCACAGCTAACATGTGCTGTGCCACGGTTTTGCTGCCTGTTGAACAATAACAAAATTAAAAAAATGACAATTATTGCTTTTTGGTAACAAAAGAAGCATTGAGAATGACTTCACCACCAATCCTTCACAATCTGCTAATAACATAAGTTATCAATCAATCAGCACAGGTACTGTACTGTATAAATAATCTTTTTATTTTAACACACTAGCCATCCCCCACTGAGGTACGGTGACCCAAAAAAGAAACACTTTAACCATCATTCACACTATCACTGTCTTGCCAGGGGCATGCAGATATGACAGTTTAGATGTCCCTCAAAACAGCAAATATCTCCATCCCTCCTTTAGAGTGCAGGTACTGTACTTCCCACCTTCAGGACTCAAGTCCAGCTAACTGGTGTCCATGAATCCCTTCACAAAATGTTATCTTACTCACACTCCAATATACTGTACAAGAGATTTTTATCTAATTATAATATAAAATGCAAAGGATAATCCCAAATTTCAAATATATCATACAACCATGGAAAATTTAATGCAGAACTGATCATGACAATTGTCTCAAAAATACCAAAGAACCATAGTGTGTATATTTTTATTTATTAAAAAAATAAAATTTACTAGTACTGTACCAATCTGCACATTTTAAATTAATTACTAGTACTGAAAATCCTTGTTACTTACATTTTGGATTCAATGTAACACACCATTTAGGTTGAAGGTGGTGCATATATAACATTCATGTAACTTCAATGAAGTACAGCATAATTAGTATAGTAGAATATGTGAGGTTATATGTGGGTTAGCCAGGTGGTATTTCCATATCTTTACCCAGGTCATGATGGCCTATTAGTACTGAAACATGAAGTTTTAGTTACTGGTAATCTATCAGTAGTGATATGCACCACTGTTACTAACAATTACTTTTTACTCAATGATCAACAAAATTTGGGATTCAATGTAATGATTAATGATTATATTTTCCTGCAATTTTTCAGTGTCTTCTACCAAGGTATAATTTTGAACAGTTTTGGATGGTTATAACCGTCTTGCAAAATAACATATAAATTATGTAGGATAACCCCCAAAAAGTTGAACATTATGTAGGGTAACCTCCAAAAAGTTGAAGCGACTTACTTCCATTGGGATTCATTGAGAGCTGTAGTAAAACCAAATAAAATTATTCTTTGTCTGTTTAACAATGTCAAGAATAATTTTTCTATAGCTTACTGTAGTGTTAAAGAATAATGGTGTTTAGGGGTTAAAATGTTCCAGTGATAATATCACAGTGAGAAGGGTAATGACAGGTGACAAGAGACCTGTGTCATGTAATGACAGTGTATGAAGCAGATACATAAAACATATGCATCAGCCGAGTATCTTTAATATTAGAACGTTTCGCCTACACAACAGTATTGTTCAGTGGTAGAGAGGAGACAGCAGACACAGTGCTGAGGGATAATGATGAAGTACTTGAAGCAACACATGTGACAGCTAGTGCATGGTGGTACAGCAGTGAGAGGTGTGGCCCTGGGTGCAGCATGTGTGTCACCACAGTGTGTGTGGTAGTGTGCATCATCATATACTCTGCTACGTCTCTCTCCCTCTCCATCTTCCATCACCAGCATCCACACCCACCCCAGCCTCGCCTTTCATCCATCCACACCAGTCCTTCTCCTCCTAACCCCCAGCTACTGCCATAACATTAGCCTCATTATCTCTAGAAGGTCATGACGGTATGTACAGGTCCAGACAGGTGGCACAGAGAGACCTCAGATGGCTTACTTAAGCCCATTCTGTGCCATCTGCTCCTTGCGCCCTGCCCAGCTCAAGCCAAGGTTTTTTTTTCATCAAACACCCGTCAAAAAACTTGGCCAAAACCACCACCGCAGCCATTTCATGACGACCTGCGGATGCTTAGGACGCTTTTGCAACGTTACTCGTTCACTTACCTTAACATTTAGGCAACTTTAAGCTCAAAATAAACAAAAACTTCTACATTCTTCTCTCTGGTGGAGTGTCAACAAACACGGCGGCCATCTTGCAAGCCAGACGTGACGTCATCACACCCGCCAACTTCAAAATCTTCACAACTTTCCTTCTTACTTTATTATCTCACAAATGGCAAACTTTACACCAACTTGCTGTCATTAACACTTTAACTTGCGTATATTAGTCATATCTTACAAACGGTATATAAACAAACACCCCACTTAAATCCTTCTTTAATTAGCAAGCCAAAATACACGTCCTACTTCCCACCAAAAAATGTATGGACTTTTATTTCTCATTCTCTCGTAATGCGTTATATAAAATTAATAAAACTATCCAATGCAAAGAACTTTACGTAACTAAGCAAACAATTGAAATATATCATGAAAATAATGGTGATTTAGTGTAAAACAAATACAAGATAGACATGCATCTGGTGAGAGGTGGCAAGTACAGGTCAAGAAGATCGATTCTTCTTAAGACGCAATCAATACAGGTCAAGACTCGCTGGGTAGGCCTATTAACCTAGGGTGACCCGCTGAGCATTTGGTCATAAATCTTCGGGTGGTCTTTTCTTGGACTTCTAAGCTTCACTTTTTTTTTTTTTGCTTGACCATCTGATAAACACTAAACATGAGTGAGAATGTAAACGTGAATTCATCCTGGTGCTTCCACAGAAGCAGGATGTTGATGTATTGACCTCTGATGACAGCCGGGAGGCTGGTCATTCAGAGAGAGATGAGCAAGACACGTGAGCAGCAGTTTGGTTTATGTACTGTCGAGACTTCTCGCCTCAACAGGCTCCTACAGCCTGCTGAGCAGGAGAGAAGTCTCACCGATAGATACCAAACTGTTATACATGTGTTGTACTCAATGTACACGTTGGTACTGTATGACATTAATATAATAATTAAAAGATGCTTCAGGCTGGGAAAATCTTTATTATATGAGGTATAACCTCCCTTTTTAAAGTGTCAGAACTACCACCTGTCGGTGTACACTAGTGTACACTTACCAATACTGAATTAAAATAATTCTCAATATTTGCCTTTGTTGGGTTATCCTATTTCAACCTTCATAATTTATAAAAGTGCTTGGCTATAATAATCCTGGTTTAATTACAACTTTCTCCACATTCCATCCTCACCTACCCTTCTTATCCCCCCTAACTTACCAAACCTGTTGTTAAAACTGCTACTACTATTACTACGATCTTAAAACAGCAGTGGGTAGCAACAACTGTCAATGTATCAACATAGCTGACTGAACGTTAAGAAAAGTGGGTATCAGGATGACGGGGCAAATAACAGGTAACCGCAGGTGTTCACCAGGAACACTTGTTCGTGTTGTTCAACACTTGCCAGGGTAAATATTATTATTATTATTATTATAATCAAGGGGAAGCGCTAAACCCGGAGGATTATACAGCGCCTGGGGGGGTGTGGAAGGCATTCAGGCTTAATTCGGGGAACTGGAGCACAGATCCAATTCCCTAAATCAAGAGCCCCTCACCAACATCAAGGAACCTTCCTTGAGGAGCCAGCGTAAATAGCTATTCATCCCTCAACAGTGACTGATCATGTCCTTCCCACATGTGAGAGAGAAAATGATAGAAAGGATGTTCATAATTAAATATTTTTAATTGACTTAGGCCTGTCTTAGTGCTCAGTATCAGTACATAAATAAGGCCACTGTGTATGTTCATTGTACATTATATTATGTTATGGTGTTTCAGTTATTACAAGGCCTAGTAGGGGATTACCCGAGTGGTGTATACTGGGGCAGCCTAACCAGGGACTATCATGGCAGGCGATAGTAAAGATTGCCAATATGATATTTTCCAATGTATTGTACAAGCTGGCCAAGCTGCATGTATTCCTAATAGAAAATTTAGATCATTGTTAGTTTTAGTTGTGTCCATAAGTGACTAGTTTATTTGACACCCCGTGCTCATCCTGTCAGAACAAATAAATGACCCTTGTTAGTAGTAAAAAAAATAGACTAAAATATTTTTTAGGCAAAAAGAAGTGCATTTACCGGCGAATTAAAAAAAGGAAAGAAGTAAAAAAAAAAAAGGAATGGGAAAAGCTAAAAGAGAATATAAATCACGGAACGGGTAGGACTTGAACCTATGGCAGGTGCATCCCAACCCATTCTATTTGTTTTCAATCGTGTTACTGCGATTTCGTGAGCTAAGAATATAAAATTAAGATTGTGAGGGATTCAAAGACCAATTATTTTTTTTTAGGTATATAGAAGCAAGATTAGGGAAAAGAAAGACCCATTCATATGTAATTTATGTGAACTTGCTGTTTACCTGGAGTTTACCTGGAGAGAGTTTCGGGGGTCAACGCCCCCGTGGCCCGGTCTGTGACCAGGCCTCCTGGTGGATCAGCGCCTGATCAACCAGGCTGTTGCTGCTGGCTGCACGCAAACCAACGTACGAGCCACAGCCCGGCTGATCAGGAACTGACTTTAGGTTAGTTACCAAAAAAAAAAAAAAACGTGTACCATTTTAAACACTTATTTCATTTCTGATTCTGCTTAAGAGGATACAAATGAAATCCCAGAAATCAATATTTATATAGTTCAGGTCGAGAGTAAATTATGCAGGATTAGTCATTAGTGATGTGGTCCCCCAGATAACTTGATGGACTGAAACCAAACAAGTCATCAGGCCTTGATGAGGTGTTTTCAAGGGTTCTGAAATATTATAATAATAGTATATAATACCATCAAGTAGATGAGTATAACACATGTTCAACAATTAGTTATCTTTAATTCGGAAACATTTCACCTACAGAGAAAGCTTCGTCAGTCGGATACGGAGGTGACTAAATATGGAACACAGCAGAAGTAGTGGAGAGGTGATCAGTCCATCAGCAGTGATTTTGAGATCAGTCCCTTACCCTTGAGAAGTGTTTAGCAACTACCACACATTATGCTGTAAAACTCTTGCTGTGCTATAAATTCTGTCGGGGAGGCCGGCAGAGATCTTCAGACACGCCTTCAAGAAACCTATGATTACGCCACGTTTAGTTTTGGTATCCTGGTGAGAGTAGAAGTGGAGCAGATCATGTTGGTTGGACGATTTTCGTTAGACTTTAGAACGAAGCTCGTGGTCAGCTTTGCAGAGAGCATCCAAGAAAATAAGAGTGTTGTCAACTTCTATTATAAATTGGCTTCTTCCTTCGTGCCCTCCTAATCTGATGTAGCGAATTCCTTGAGGAAGAATGCTCTGTCATCGAACAAATATTTTCTAAACTTCATTATCCTAATCACTTCATTAGAGATTGCAGACGTCGTATACATAACATCTTCAGCTCACCCAGATATAATACCGCCCTTCCTCCAGAGTTGTAGATGAATGGTTCAGAGAACCGACACGTTGATAAATTAGACACGTGCAACTTTTGGGTATCTTTATTGAGGAGACGTTTCACCACACAGTGGCTTCATCAGTCCATACAAAGGAGAAACTTGAACAGGAGGAGAATGAGGTAATCAGTCCCTCAACCTTGAGTCGATGTGGTCAGTCCATCAATCTTCAAGATGAAGCCACTGTGTGGCGAAACGTCTCCTTAGTAAAGATACCCAAGAGTTGCACATGTGTCTAATTTATCAATACCGCCCAGAGAAGATACATAGCACTACTAACTCCGTTGCCAAACACGTCATAGGGCTGCTCCCCGCTATGGAGCTGTAAACGGTACTCCACTTGACACATTGCTCACCGTTCCTCTGCTATAGGGCTGTAAATGGTACATCACTTGTACAAACTCCGACACTCCTTCTGGAGCTACTGCCGGATCACCACATGGAGAAGACCCAGGCCAGCGGCACAACCAGCTGCACCAGTGGCTTAGTGAACAGAACCAGCAAGATACATAATTTTTGGAAGGCGAAGATTTGTTGTGATTAATTTTTTTTATGGGGGGAGGGGGAAGAGAGATAGTGGTTTGGAATAAGGTAAGTTCCCATGATGCAGGGAAGTGTCGCTGGAGGGTTTCGGGGGTCAACGCCCCCGCGGCCTGGTCTGAGACCAGGCCTCATGGTGGATCAGGGTCTGATCAACCAGGCTGTTACTGCTGGCCGCACGCAAGCTGACGTACGAACCACAGCCCGGTTGGTCAGGTACTGGCTTTAGGTGCCTGTCCAATGCCTTCTTAAAGACAGCCAGAGGTCTACTGGTAATCCCCCTTATGTATGTTGGGAGGCAACTGAACAGTCTTGGGCCCTGGACACTCATTATGTTTCTCAGTGTACTCGTGGCGCCTCTGCTTTTCACCGGGGGAATGTTGTATCTCCTGCCGAGTCTTTTGCATTCATAGGGAGTGATTTTCGTGTATGTAATTTATTCGGAGGTCAGTTCCAGTTTTTATGATCTATCTGGATGAGTGCTCACCAGTGCTTAAGAAAGTTAGGTAGGCTTCTGTGCAAGGGTTTGGATGGGTTTATCTGAGCATATTAACACCAATGAGGACATTTCTTTCAGTGACACGATCTCTGATGTTTGGAATATCAAGTTCTTCCAGCATGTTTAGAATTTTAGGATGATCCTCATAGCTTCGTTCTGCAATTTATCAAGCCCTTCAAGTTTGTAAATAAATAGTTCGGAGAACTGACAAGTTGATAAATTAGATACTTGTGTAACACTTGGGAATCTTAATTAATAGACTGATCACATCGACTCCAGGTTGAGGGACTGATTACCTCAAGCTTTATAAATTAAAGTCTCTACTTAAAAATCACTTACTCACCCACAACTAAAGTAATACTGAATAATTGTATCTCATAAATGTTTAACCTGTGACCCAATTAAACTTTGTTATTTTTAATTACATTACCTAACATTCTACTGAATGCTCAGCAACACAGTAAATGACCATATGACCTGTCTTTGAAATACTCATTTGTGCTTAATTGT